CAGGGCTGCAAGATGCAGTGTCTATATTTTACAGATGCTGTAAAATCTCTATTAGATAGACAATTTGTAAAAATGGGTCTCTTTTTAATATTTCCATTACAAGTATAAAAACTGCTCCTTTGTGCATAATTCTCTATATTTTTTCATCAGAAAGAAGTTACCATGAAGGCTAAATACCAGGAGGATGGAATAGCTTATCACAATCATTATAAATATGATGTTTTCAGGAACTGTTGTGGCACATTGAATACTGCTACCATTCTACAGACATACAGTATTTAATTCTCATTGAAGGGAAATGTCCCTGTGTTTGCACAATCAACAAGACCTTTAGAAATTATCTTTGTGCTATCCAAGGGAAAAAAAAAAAAGAACTTTCATCCCCTGCATGTAGTACACATGGCTGAGGCATTCATAATAAATGAAATACACTTTAGAAATAAATTCTTAGGGAGGACCCTGCATTACTAAACTCTAATTCAAATCTGCTTCTCGTAAAATATCCATGAAATTCAGCTTCAGAAATCAGAAGTCAATCAAAATCTTTCATATGTTTGGAAGCATGGGAGAACCATGATACAGTTGTAAAAACACACTGCCTATTAAAAGGTAGGTGTCACAAAATGGAGCAATTACAGAAGAGGCCAAATTGGAGCTAAAATTATTTAATTGGCTCAAAAGATGAACTTGCTTGCTCAGTGACACTTCAGGAACATATTATTTAAGCATAAATCACTTATGCTTTCATTGGCTTCTCCCCTTCCTTGGTGTTTAACTACAGAAGGCATATGAGGGAAGGTGGGAGAGGATGGGAGCTTGTAAACAATAGATGTACTCATATTCTCTCCTCCTTGCGGGTGCTAACTTTCGAAGCTCTTCATCCACTATCTGCAGCATTACACTCAGTTATCGTGGTCAGAGCTGGTACATACAAACCCTGAGGGCTGAAGTCATTAGTATATTCAACCAAATGGACTGGGATAGCACGTTCATACATGTTTTTGGAATTATAGAACGTTATTACTGGGAAAGATCAGTGAGAGTCTCCTGCCAAATCTAGTCATTTTTCAGATGAAGACATCAGGCCAAGAATGAAAAAAACCTTGGCCAAATTCAAAACCAGGACTTGACCCAAGTCACCTGATATTCAGTCCATTGCTTCTTGATCATTCCATATGGCCGAACTTTTCACACCTCATGCAGCCCCCAGTCCCCTCAATGATAGCCTCCAGCCAGAGCCCTCTCCCTTTTACACAAATCAATTTTCCCTAGACTTCTCATTAGCACTAAAATTTGGACTAGATGTTTCCAGAAATGTCATGAAGTCTCAGTTCAAGTGAACCTTATCTTAATAGTAGTAAATTGTGAGTCATGTTTAAGCAACATTCAGAGAATGAAAGTTTGAAATTATGTCTCTCTGAAGAGAATTAAATATCTTTATTACCCTCTTCAAAGGACTCAAAACTTGGCTTTCATTTGATAGGACACAAATGTATCTTTAAATAAAGGAAACAACAGAAAGTTTGGTAGCAGGTAATGTCAGCAGAAAGGGAGTCAGGAATGTGGATGATGGCGATCCTGCTAGGGAGAGAGCACAGAAGAGTGATGGAGATCAAAGGATGAAGGAGACACATCCTCCTTCCCAGGCTGAGTGCCAAAGGTCCTCTCATGTATAGTGAACACGTGATGAGGTTTATACAACAAATGGAAAACTGACTTTCAGGCTGGAAAACAAAACAGCCTCCAAGTTAGTCAAGTTGCCTCACTGAAGTTCTCTGCCCAGATCCCCACGTTGCTGAAAATGGAAAGATGATGCCAACTTTGCAGACCACAACACAACATATCACCCGGGAAGAAAAGCCCTGGATGTTGCAACGGCTGTACCCAGTGAATAATTGAGGTCCTACTGGGGTAGCATTATGGCTAAAAGAATAGTCTGGAACTGGGAACAGCAGTTAGCATAATGGCTATGTTGCTGGACTCCTTTATAGTCGACCGCGGTTCCCAGACCCGGTGGCTTAAACTCGCCAGGTGCGTGTGCATGTGTGCCCAGGATTCCGAGAGGAGAATGGAGGAGAAGGGATTGTGGTGTGGCCATGCCCCCTGGGGGGTGATTTCTAGTTTTCTGTCTCTCTGTCTCTCTGTCTTTCCGGTGAATGCATGCACACTATAGCAAAAACCTCTCCAAAAAAAAGAATAGTCTGGAACTATGAGGGGCCTCAGCCATATCCAATATATTGTCCATTCTGAAAGACATTTTGGGTAATAGAAATACAAAATGCTTGAGTAAAATGTAGATGGGGTGGAGACAGAGGGTACAGATCAACCAGATCATTTTGATTGCTAGAAGGAAGAAGAGATCTGAGGCTTGAATTAAGACTTCATTAGTACACAGGAGATGTATCAGGAACAAATAATGTGAGATGCGAGCCTCACTAGATGCTTGGATTTATGTCAAAGTAGCTCCATTACATATGTGTCCCTCAGGGTCAGGCTACATTAGTTGGTTTTCTCCTTCCATATGTGACGAAGTGAAGAGTCAATGCTGGGTACTTCAGAATGCCTCTATAAAACATGCTTTTAGTGTCCATGGAACTTAGGTTCAGTATAAGTGTGTATGCATGTGTGTACATTGCATGTGTGTGTGTGAGAGACAGGGAGGGGGGAATAAAACATGAAATGTCTCTAAGGTCACAGAACACTGACCTCATTGGCGGGGCTAATTTGATTGTGCAGGAACAATAGCACTGTACTCCTTTGCCAGCGAAGTGCATGCTAATTATGCGATTTGCCCTTGATAAGACCTTGGTGGGTCATTCAGCAGTTGTGATCTGTCACTGACTTCTAATCATGTATTATCGTCTGGGTGAGTCAGAATGGGACCCTAAGCTTTCTGTCTTTACAGCAATGTGGCACTCTAATTACCTTATGCCAAGTGGATATGCAGAGACTGAATTAAGTGATCAGTGCGATTGCCTTCAAAATCTTCCCTTTCTCCTTTGTGTTGCTTCACGGCAATTTACATTTTAAGATGCCATGAAGCTTTTGGTGTGACTGAAAATGCCACTCTAAAAAATAATTATTTTATTTTTAATTTAAGCAGGATAATATTAAATTCAAGCCATACTAGCATCTTATCTTATTTCTGTAGCAGAAAATCAGAAGCTACAATAAGAATCCTGTGAACAAACTTGTTGAAAAGCATCATACTGAAAGCCTGGCTTTTGCTTTCAAAAAATAACAACAAAAAAGGGGGTTGAGAGTGGTTTGGAGTATGGAGGGACTCTGGAGAGCATGAAGACTTTCTAAGACCCTTAAGTTCTTACTGTTTTAATAATTTGCACTTAATAAGTAGACCTTAACATTAAGCATTATAGTTTGCTTTTCAATAGCAGTTGGGATCCACAACTGCAAGCTACAGAGAAAAAAAAAAAAAAAAAAAAAGGAACCTGGGGAATAAACTCTCACCACAAAATATTCATTAACTAGGGTTACGATAAATTGACCTTTTATGTATTTTAAGTTCAGCCACAATTTCTGACTTAGTGGTTAACTTGCTCCATCACAGTCTGAGGGATCTGTATGGTCCTAGTTTTGGTACTAGGACATGCATTATTTTTTTTTCATACTTTAAACATTTGTTAGAGCTATGATATAATTCTCTATTGTTGCATAGCTACTCGCAAAAACTACAAAGCAATCTGTTATGCTAAACCAGTTGTATCAACATCAGTATTTGCCTAGAGAATGATCTAATGCCTTTTGCAAAGAAAATGCACTGCAACATTTATAAAATTTGATAAGATACACTGATGTGGATGATCCTTGAAAATATGAACTCTGAAGTGCTCCTTGAAAGTTGTCATAAAACAGACCAAAAAAAAAAAAAAAAGAAGAAAAAAAGAGAACCAACTATCACCACAACATCATAGAGCAAGTTACTGTGCTACTAACAGGAAATATAAAAGGATTTTCAAAGAATTTCTGCCTTGTGTGTCAACATTGCTGCAGAATTCTTTTATAGTAACTGAAAAATCAAAACCAAAGAGGACAATTGAGAGAAAAATTGCAAGCCTTATTTTCCTTGAATCACATGATGTGGAAGGAACATTATTTGTTGAATCCATGGTTTGTTTGGGTGGGAGGGCAGAGGAAGAGGGGGCGAGACAGTGAAAGAAATGGGGTGGAGGGAGAAGGAGGGGAATTGAGAGAGCCCAGAGAGAGGGAGGGAGGGAAGAAAGAGAAGAGGCTAGAAAGAGAGAAACCGAGACTCAGAATATTCTGCATTCCCTGGGTGGCAAAACAAAAGAGCCCAAGGAGGGGGGAAAAACTGTGGAAAGTTGACACAGTCAAGAATAATGGCTAAATCTATCAAGTTTGATCAGGTCTACTATAATGAAGTGAGGCTTCATATTCCAAGCAGGGACAATGAAGACAGGAGTCAGGCTCCAGAAATGCGCTGCTCACTTTGTGCTCAGAATATGCAGCAGCCAGCAGGGAGCCACCAGATAATTACACAGTATTTGTGCGGTTCCAGGAAGCTTCCCGCGCAGGTTGAATGCCCGTGCTATATTAAAAGGCAGCACAGTGAAATGTTTTTAATGAATATTTTTGTCAGAGAAAGAAAAGGCATTTGAATGATTGTGTGTGTGTATGAGAGAGAGTGTGTGTGAGAGTGTTTACGCTTGCGCATGGGGAAACCAGAGGTGGAATATCACTGTCAAAATACAGGTACCTTTATTTATTTTTAGTCCATTATTTACCGTTTCAAAAGTCTGACGTCCTTTCAATAATACAAATCACAACATTCGGTTAATGTTATTTAGGGCTAATTGTATATATAATCCCTTTACTAATATTTGCTAATAATATCTTTCAATGAAATAGTACATCAAACAGAGGCTTAAAACTACTTCAAAAAATTCCAGTAGTAAATGAAATGTTTAGACACATCGAATCGGGAAATCTAAAGAAGAAGTAACACAGATGTTGATACTTACTAGTCAGTAGCCTTTGGCAGTGATAGCTCTAAAACATAAGAATACATTATTTCAGCACTCTTTAATTCTCACCTAACAGATGTGAATAATCCATTGAATTTTAAACCCACACTTTCTATTTACAATGTCCCTTTAAGTTCATTTTGCAGGGCAAGGCAAGCCACATACACTAAGAGAATTCACCAGAAAAGGTTGTGGATTTTTAAAAATCTAGTCCCACTAAGATAATGCCATATATTTTTCATTTATCTATTGAGAAAATATGTAACTTCCTTAAATGCATTTTCAGGTTCTGGTACTACATTTGTAAAAGCAGTTTTTTTAAGGCTAAATGACACTCAGCAATTAGCAATAGACATTCACACAATCACTTCCTTCCCCAAATTCAATAAATTCAGTGGTTCAAACTCCTGGGATAACAAAAGAATCTCAAAGATATTTTCCTCTCGTGTCAAATGATTTTCAGATAATGCAATGACTTACTTACCAATGTATTAATTTAGACCTGAAACCTCCATATTTTAGAAGTGGATATTGTACTTCACATGGCTAAGTACCGATTGTGAACCGTTATCACTTGTAACAAGTACATTCTGATGAGGTGGCATGGATCTTTATTTGAAGGGAGAGTTCCTACCACATTGCATGACACAGATGGTAGAGGTCAACAATTAAGAACAGTGAGAGTCACAGGATTTGTTGGTTGAAAGATGGTTCTGATGAGGCAATTTTCTATCTTTTTTTTCTCCCAAAGAATAATTTCAAGTAGATTTTTCAGCCAAGAGGTCTGCCACTCCCTCTAGCAACTGACTAAAATTAAATAGCCCTGACCCTTAAAAAAATAAATTAATTTTAAAAACCCATGGAATTCAACAAAAGGAAAGACTGGCCCATATTACTGTAAGTGAAAGCACTATCCATTCCAAATATCTCGTTCTGTTTCAAGGTTCCACTCATTGAAATGTTTCTTTTTGTAAGCTGTATTATTAATAGCTGCAAATACCTAATGGAATCATTTAAATGAAAACTTGTTTCTTTTATTGTAATGAAGGGAAAAATCTAACCCTTTTAGTAAATAGATTCAAAATAAGTATACATAAAACACTGAAAAGGAAATTTCAGTAGGTATATATGACTACGTATATTTAACAAAAAAGACAGGCTATTACCTTGGCATGTTTAAATCCGATTAGCAATCTGTCCTCGAAGACTTTCAATATTAAAACATAAAAGATGGTCAGATGTGTTTTCTTCATTTGAATCATAGCTGTTTACATTTAACATTCTATTGTCATGCTATGAATTAAAAGCATAAACAATACTGGGACCAGCAGTTGGAGTTATGGCCTCGTCGCTGGGCTCCCATGTAGTCGACAGTGGTTCGAGTCCCGGACCTGGTGGCTTCAACTCAAACTGGGTGCATGTGTGTGCGTGCCCAAGATCCCAAGAGGAGAATGGAGGAGATGGGACTGTGGCGTGGTCATCCGCCCAGAGGGTGATTTCTCAGTTTCTGTCTCTCCATCTCTCTTACTTTTTCTGGCAAGCGTACGCACCCTATAGCAAAAACCTCTCAAAAAAAAAAAACATAAACAATGCAAAATGCTTTTTAATCATCTTTCTACCTCTTTCTACCTTTCAATTAAAGAATTATTTATTTCTTCCATGAGTAGGAGAGACAGGGCACACCCAAAACAGTCTTATTTCAGGGACCTACTCCTACTCTCAGCCAGCTCAGATCATGACCCTGTGCACAGGAGGTCCCAGGACCCCAGTGAATCTATGACCTTCCCACATAGGTTTAGTTATTATTGCTATACCTCTGCCTGGTTCCTCTAATTTCAATTTTTTTCCCTCTTCTTTTTAGGATAGAAAGCACATGCTCACAGATTTGAGAGAGAGCAAGGTAGAGAGAAAGACCTGGACAGGGCCTTATCACATTGCAATCCCACCTCTCAGACCTTAAGTTCCTCAGGATATTGGCTAGGTACCTGGCATGTTTGTAAGCTGACCTAGAATCCAAATGGTGGTGGCTATGTGGCTTCCAGCATTGCAGGGCACAAGCAACAGCACTCCACCACAGCAGTTGGGCCTACCTTTCAACTTTTAATAAAAATACTCATGTTCTACAGTTTGTACTCATCATAAAATGCCTAAAGCATACAGGTCAAAATGTTTTGGCCATCTTTTTAGAAGTTTCTTACAAACAACGTGTATTATTTCTGACCAAATAATACTAGACTGTAGAAAGTATCTGCACAAAGACAGTTCTCAATCACAGGCAGACACAAAGGACTCCACAGTGCTCATCTTTCCCTTCTGGTCCAATCATAATTAGTAAAAATGTCAAATCTTGGGTCAAAGTATAGACTTACACTGTCGTTTTATCTCTACCTCTACTTAGAAGTGTAAAATTCCACTGTATGGAAGACCATGCTTCTTATGTAGTCTCCAGTTTTAGTTTCCATCTTTGTTGTCAGTTGTCCATACAAGTCTTGCTGTATGAGGCACTGGGGACTAGACTCAGAGTGAAAGGAGCAGGTCAAACACTTCTACAGGCTTGGGAGAAGGTCTGATGAGGGCTTAGAAGGAGGCAATTTTGTCTTAAGATAACTTCAGCAGTGATTGTGTAACTCTTTGTGCATTTTCATAAATCCTGCTCTGCTATGGCAGCCACCTAGACCTAAATTAGAAGATTTGCTTCATTTTGCATCATTTGCATTGGACTTCCTCATTCTGAAGTCTCAGATTTCACAGGTCTCTTTTGTGACACGAAGAGTAAGGCGTTCATTAATTCTTTTAGTCTGGGACACTTGTAAAACATTAATCTGTTAAAAAAAAAAAAGATAAAAAAGCCTGTAATCTTTCCCATGTAGAATATAAAAAACACTATGTTTCTGTCCTGGAAGCCTACATGTTTCACACAAATTCTGGCGTATTCACAAGCTGCATCCTCATATTTAAAGGAATGTTACCCCGAAGATTAAGTGGTCCTTGGAAATGCCAGCAGCTGTGTTCCAACCCCTTTGCCTGCAAAGAGCTTTGTGCCATAGAAAAAGGTTCCTCTCCACCTTCTAAGCTTCACTCATTCAGCCCTTTTTCACATTGTTATAGCTAGTGAATATAGCAAAGCTGGATTCAGAAGAGAACCTTAAGCGTTATCATAATGCTTAGAAGAAATGGCTTCACACTGTATAATCTATCAAAGGTGTCAGATTTACAAAATGCAGATTTTCTGTCACATTTGGGCACTCTAAGCACTGTATCTTTTCACTAAGGTGCTGACTGCTGTTTTAATGAGGCCCTTTGGTGGCTGTAAAAAACTGAAAGAAGAGGATTAGAGGGGTTACCCTAGATATTGTCTATTTGTCTTACAAATTTCACACTAACTACCAATTACATCGCCATAAACCTTTTGGCTACTTCAAGCTGTATGCCATATAATACATAAAAAATATGCTATGTTAACCTCTTCTATATTATACATGTAACTACAGCCACTGATGCAAGTAACATATCTAATGAAGCCAATAATGAGGCTCTTTAAAAGTAGTCTTGTTACAGGAATAATATTAGAGTGGTTCAGTTAGAGGCTAAGGTCCATTATGGAATACTGCCTATATACTCTGGTCCCAGGTCTGGAAAGATGCTGACACACTAATTCAAGCTCAAGAAGGGCATTAATCTTACAACCTTCCACTTGTCATGCTTAATGGGACATCCTGCTTAGGTGAAATGAACCTGATGTATTCAGGTAAACATAATTTAATAAGGAAAGATAAAAAGAAATAGACATCTAGTATGACCCTAGAGAGATGAAAATATCTGCCATTTTCTTTGAGAACCTAACTGCCCAGAATCTATGTGGCACTGTACTGTAGGCATTCAGAAATATGCACTTCATTGGGACTAAATGGACAAATCATGGTTGAAGTTTGGAGATGTCTTTGTTGTTTCCCCCCAAAATTCCAGTAATCCATTTCGTTGGTGGGGAGTAGTAATGCCAGGCAGGATAGGCAACTGTGCTCATCCTGGGGAAGAAGACACATGTTAATGTGGGGTTAAGCATCTGAGTGTGAAATCAAGATCCGCCACAATACAGTATGAGATCTAAAAGCAGGCATGAATGTCAGCAAGTTACCCGTGCATCCTCCTTCATTTGCAATTACTCTTAAGTCTAATGGGCTTCCAAAAATTGTGTCAAGGTTTCAAATAAGCTTATAAAAGGCAACTGTTGGAGAAGGTGGACGTCTACCTTGCCAAATCAAGTATTACATGAGATACAGACACACAAACCCCACATGCTGTGTAGTGGGGTTCTGCTTCCCTCCGTCCATGCCTAGACACTAATCTCCTACTGCTCTGAGAGAGATGTATCTAAAAAAGCCCTTGAGAATACTGATTGGCCTTGCCATTTAAAGCAGCTAAGCAACACCAAGAATTAAGTCAGTTAATATTCTTGGTGATGAATCCATGCTCCAAGTCACCGAACGAACTTTGCCACTAGAAAATTTGCTAAGGTTTCTTTGATTCAAAGATAAAAGAACATGGGATTATTTGGTCAAGGCTTTAAAATTAGGAAGTGGTAAATATGATTCAAATATCTAAACACATTTGAGAATTCAGTTTCTTCCAACCTTTCTTCTTGCTATTTTCAGATGAGCCAATAGATGGTTAAATGAATTGTTTGGATAATAATGTGGTTAAATCCATTGTTGAAAATGTAAATTTATCACATTTCTATATTTAGTTGGCCAGGCACTTATAAATCTACAAAGTTCATTTTTATGGAAAAATCGATGCATTTGTCCCCTCTGGATAATATATGTTACTTGTGAAAATGAGTCTTTTACTTAAAATTTATTTCTAACAGGGACAAAGAAAAATGTATATGAACACTCAATAAATGAATTAAAATAAAAGGATAAAGGGAACCTCACCAATAAAACATCTAATAGAATAGTTCTGAGTTTGGCAGGTCTTCTTCAGCCTTCTCCCTCAGTGGTTGGAATATCCTAGACAAGCAGCTTCTGCAAATTGTGAGCATTAATTTCCTGGAAGGAATGAGTGTCGCTGATTCTACTAGGCATGATCACCCAAGGCGGTAAAATGCTATCCGTACCAGAGGAGCAAATTTGGCCTGGTTCTCAGACAGGATATCAAAGCATAGTATCAGTAGAAGACAGCTGCCCTCTTGGTGCAGTTAAGTAAAGGAGGTAAATACAGAAACCAGGCAGTTGGAGCACCACGACTAACTTTTTTATTCATGTTGTTATTTTTGTCCAAATCTCTTAAGTGTGTCATCCACAAAGTGTTAAGAGGAGTTACTTATTCATTAAGCATTTTGCATAATCTTTATAAGTAGCACCATGGAAACCAAAAGTACTGAACTACTTTGGACTTCTCCCTGGTTGAACTCCAAAGAAAGGATTTCCATTCCATAGTGAATAAAGAAAAAAAGGAAGGAACACAGAGAGGGTGACTCTTATGAACGTTCTCGTAATAATGATAGTCTTGATTACTATTATCTATCCATTTCTGATCCTTACATCAGAATTGGAGACTCCTAAGCTACCAGTCTTGGAAGTAACCATGAAGCCCTTCACACATCTCTAAGGCATACCAAATAACTCACTTTTAAGACTCTGCCTCTAGACATCAGTCTAGAGATAAGCTTATTCCCGTGGTTTTTGTTTTGCTTGCCCACAATCTTGAACTCCAGGTCCTCATTCTTGCTCTTTAATAAGACAAGATTCTATCTAAATAGGTACAATGAGGTGCAAAGGAAGAAAATTCAGCAGTAGGGCATACTAGCAGCATTTGGAACCTATGGGCCTGATTCCCAGAAATCTGAATTAGAATGAGATTTCGAATGAGGGGAAAAAATTGTTAATGTTTCTAGTTATTCTAATAAAGTTATCCAGCTTCTGGATCATTTTTTTATACCAGGAGCTGTGCTCTATTCTATATGGAATAGACTACGCTAAGCTGGATAAAAAATGTCACCTTAGGCACCTGAATTAATAGTTCGGTTATGTACTCCGTTAAGTCTTTACTATAGATCAGCATAAGTGTGCTAGACAGACAATTCTTTAGAGCTAACATTTTAAAAAGGTGCCAAAGCCCCTTTGAGATCTGTGTGAATTATCCAGATTCAGGGAAAAAAGTTAAATATACAGTGCTTTTTTACCCCCCTCCTTTTCTTGGTTGCACTGAATAAGTAAAATTGCAGCAAAGTTGGCAAGAATAAATACTTCCTTGGTTTTTCTAAAGCTGCAATTAATGATAATGAAGCTATACCTTATATGGCAAGAAATACAGTACAAATTGGATAAGTAAGAAAAATGATCAGCCATTGTGTGCCTCCCATATAGTACATCAAGGTATTGCCACTGTGAGGCTATCTTTATTTTAAACCATTAAACAAAACAATATAAATCTGCAGGCAGGTGTTTCTTGTTGCAGAAGTATTGAAAGTTGTAATGCAAACAATCTAATTTTAGCATCTATGTAGAGTGTGAAGTAAATTTACTGATCACTGATGCATTGAGCATAGGAAGAAACAATCAGCAGGAGCTTTCAGCGAGATCATCCTATTAAAGCAGGAAGACTTCATGTGGTTGTTAAGGAAGTAGGCAAAAGCAGGTGATGGAAGTGGGGGTCTGACGACTCGTCAGTGGGCCCAGTGTACATGTTAAGTTGTTGTTTTCTGCTCAGCTAAGCAGCAGAGAATTGATATGTTAGCAATGAAGTGCAATGACAATTAAATTGTAACTGACCTACATGTTACCGTCATTACGCGTTCTCTTTTTTACTGCTTTCCCTCTTATTTAATCACACAGTATGGGGTTTTTATTAGGCTGTAATGTTAAAATCTTCATCCATTTAGCCATAAATGTGTGACTGGATATCTATCAGACTTCCTTGCACTATACAAACAAAGCCATTTTGCTGAATCACTGTTGACTTGTTTGTGGCCTAATTTAATGAGTGTAATAACTTACATTACTATCCAGTTAACATTTAGGAGCCCAGAAAAGACCTGCTAGCATGCAGTAAGCTACTGTATACATTCTCTATTCATATCACTCTCCTTCGCAGTAAATTTTATACAATAATATGCACTGCTTACAACACAAGCTCAGCTTCCATCAGTCCAGGATAGCACTCCAGGAAGCTTGCTATGCTTAGGCTGAAATGCTTCTTACACACAAGAACCGACCAATATGATTCCTTTTTTTTTTTTCTGGATACTGCAACTGCTATATCTTAACCTCTTAAAAATAATGAAACAACTTATCATTTATTCTATCTCATATTTTTCTTACTGATAGTTTAAACCTCTTTTCACCTCCCAAACTCAAGAATGAAAATTAGTTTCTCAGAGCAAGGGGGAGGAAAATCATTATTAGTTAAAATAAAGTTCCAGGATAAAACAGAAAAGCAAGAAATAAACAGATAAAATGGGTTGCCTCTGTTTATATTTATGTGATTAAGCTGCCTCTGATCTTGAATACCAGTTTCTATTTCTCTAAAAGAAAGCTACTCATCCTTTCATTCATCCCACACACATCTGTATGTTGTCATGTAAAATGTTTCTTAAACACAAACATACTGCAATTTATTTGTGTTTCCATTACATATCTTTGAAAAATGAATTTAAAAAAAAAATCTTTGTCACCTAACTCTCTCTCAGCCATTTCACTAGCATCTGATGATTCAATTCAGTGTATCAGTTAAGTCACCAAAAAAGTCTCATTGTTTCCATACTAGTATTAAACATA